GAGAAAGGGGAACCCTTGTTCGTGGCTGGAAGGAATGTCAAATGGTGCAGCCGCTTTGGAAAACAGTTTGGCACGTCCCCAAAAGTTAGATACTAGAGTTACCAGAGAAGCCAGCATTTCTCCTCTTGCGAAAATCCTCAAGGAAGTAAAAACAGGTGTCTACACAAAACCTCGTACACGTCCATAACAGCATCACTCATAGAGGCCGAGAAGTGGAAACACCTCCAATGTCCATCAACTGTTGAATGGATAAACATAATGAAGTATAGCCATTCAGTAAAATATTACTTGGCCCGAGAAGGAAATGGAGTCCTCATAGATGCTGCATTCAACACACGTGAACCTTAAGAGCATTATGCCAAGTGAAAGAATCTCGTCACAAAATACCACATAGTTTAAGATTCCATTTATGTGAAGTGTCTGTAATGTCCATAGACAGAAGATCCATTAGTGGTTAGTTAAGGCCAGGGGGTGGGGAACAGGAGTGACTGCAGACGGGTGTGGGATTGCTTTTTGGGGGCGATGAAAATGTTTGGGAATTAGACAGCGGTGGCCCAAAGTTGGGAATGCACTCAACACCACTGAATTGTGCACTTTCGAATGGCAAGTTTTATGGCATGTGAATTATATTTCAGTATGAAACAAAAAGAATGACGGTTCTGCGATCTTTCCAAAAAAAAAAAAAAAAAGGCATTTGGTATTCAGGAAATTGGGTCAAAAGAGAGCGGAGAGAGTATTTCAAGCCCTTCTAAAAGGCAGCCTCATAAAAAAGTGAGATAGATCCCAATTCACAACACACCGCTCCCCTCGGGTCAGCCACCATGGAAGAGCCCCAGTTTCCAGGATTGGGATCATTTCAACCCAGAGTCTCTTTATCTAAAGCATTTATTACAGCGACAACGTAAGGGTCCCAAGAAAAAGCCAGTTCTATTAAAGTAAAGGAGCACTTGTATGCAGAAAAAGAAAACTACCAAAAAGTCTCATTTTCCAAAAATCGTCAGTGACCAGTCCCTAAAGAGCGTGGGTCTCAGGGAAGAAATCCTCTCTGGGAGGGTGTGGTATACAGCCAGTAACGAAGGGGCTGGCAGCGGCTGTCACCTGCCAAGGTCACAAACTCCGTTTTCACTCAGCTGGTGTTTCCACCTTTCACCACTGGGACCCCAGCTTCCCAAGCCAGGATGCTAACGTGCAGCCTGGTAGAGGCCAAAACAGTTCAGACCAGGCTTGACATTCTGAGGGCTGAGCTAAACCCTAGGTCTGTTGTTGGAGAATATAAAGGAATACGGAGGCTGAAGATCCTTCAAGAAATCCCCCATTGTCTGTTGTTGCAACAAGGTTTTCAGGAAGCAGCAAGGAGGTGGAGGTTATGCCCCGGACGAGTGCCTGGCATGTAGATCATCCACGCTGCTCCTTCAGACTTTCTGAGCACACCCCAACTCACTTTGTCCTCACAGCAGCATGAATAAGCACACGGAAATGACCTCTGCCCTAATTACAGCTCCCGGTGCTTTCACATCACTTGCCATGTGCCAGAGCAGTTCGAAGAGCTGTATGTGTATTAATTCATTTGATCCCCTAACAATTCTATATGTAGTACTAATAGGCACTACGGGCAGCCCATTTTTACCAATAAGGAAACAGGCACAGAGATTAGGTGACTTGCATAAGGTCGCAGAGCTGCGATTGGAACCCAGGCTGTCTAGATACCAAACATAGGCTCTTAACTTTGCTGCCTTTGTGAGTACAAAAGTGACTGACATGGCCACTGGGGATTCTCCTCTCCAAATCGGCTGTATTTGGTTTCTCTCCCCACAAAGTTGTCAGATCACAGTAAAAGGCATGGCCTCTTGGAAGCCTGGCGTGGGCTTACATTGCTCCGCGGGGGGATAACATTGCTCCGTGGCTGGGGAATACCCCAGAAATCCACCTGCCGCCTTGGAAAGGATTCCACCAATGTTGAGGGGGAGCCAGCGGGGGCCCCTCTATGCAAGGGCGCCCGCACACATGTACACACGTGCACACACTGGGAGGTAAAAGACTCCACTCCTGAGCTCAAGACGTAAGAAACTTTTGTCGCAGGCAGTCATTTGGGTCCTGAGAAGAGTGGCAGCATCCAGCCTCCTGCCGGCCATCGAGGAGGCTCTGGTGGAGATGGCATCTGGGCTCTGATGGTGTCTGGGCTCTGATGATGTGCTCTTTTCCCATTTCCTCCTTCTCCATCCTTCGCTAGACCTTAAAGGTTAGAGGAGTGGACCGTACTCCCTACCTGGGGGACGTAGCTATCGTTGTGCATCCCGGGAAAAAAGAGATGGGAACGCCACTCGCAGACACTCCTACTCGGCCTGTTACCCGACACGGGGGCATGAGGGACCTTCACGAGTCCAGCTTCAGCCTCTCTGGTAAGAGCAAGGGCCGCTCCGGCTGGGATGCGTGGCTCTACCTCAGCGGGGTGGCCGGAGGACAGGCCCACCCTGGCAGCGGGACTTCTGTGGCTTTTTCTCTTTGTCTTCTCCCTCCCCCCACCACCCCATCCCACGTCTGCAGATGGGTGTTGGGTCCCACATAGAGACACAAAATATCAGGAGGGGCGGGAGGGCTCTTCGGGTCCCTGGGCACGAGTCATTCCAAGAGGCCGTGGCTTGTCTGCTGCTCGCCCCGCAGTTTCTAAGTTCAGAAAATTCTTCCCTTGAAACATCTTCGGGGCCCTGCACACAGTGGGTGCCCCAGGGGTGATCAGAGCTCTGAAGGGTTAACCCTCTCTGCTACGTGGGACTGTACCCCAATGCAGTCTCCCTGTCCCCATCCCTGCTCCTTGCCAGCCTCTAAAAAGGTATTTCCCTGTTCCCTTTCCTCCCCCGCCTCAGCCCCGTGTTTGTCCCTCTGGCACCTTCTTTTTTGTCAGCAATTGTAGTATATGTAATACCACATATAATATATGGGGGGCGGGGTTGTTCTGGGACTTTACTGTCAATAACTCACATCCCAGGTGCTCTGCAGTAGCGAATGGTGGGGGGTCGTTGCCACAAAAATGGTAGCCCTCCGTGGAGAATGAGCACGGTAAGGTGGCCTGGTCCTCCAGGCCGCTTTGATGGACACTGGGACCCCACCCCCGACCCCAGCTTGAAAGGGGCAGGACGGGGTCTCCTTGAACGCGCTGAGCGGCCTTCAGAGTCGGACCGGGTGGAGGCCTGGCATCACTCTGCAAGGGCCACACCGGGACCCAAACGGTGAGAGGACCAAGATCCAGATCCTTCCACACAGGGTGTGGCGTTTACTGTTATGATAGGGAAGGCCGAGGGAGGGGGCTGCCCGCCGAGCTTCCTGTGTGTCCCCCTATGTGCTGGGGGCAGAAGACACGTGGTTCCTGTTTAGAGGTTTTGAGGACTTTGTGGTCTGTGAGGAGGGGTCCTCTCTACCACTCTCTCCATCCTCAGAGGTGATCTCAGTGCCAAGATAACTATCCCCCTGCCCCCGCCCTGAAGGCCACTGCCAGTCCCACCAGGGACAAGACACGTGTGCTGGGAGTCGGGAGGGAGTCCGTGGTGCCGAGTGTCGTGGTCAGGCGCTGCCATCCCAGGAGGTGTAGGCTCCCACGGCTGCCTGGGCACGGCCCTTCCTGCAGCGGCCAGGCCCACGAGAAGCCACAAGGCCCTCGGAGCGGCCAGTGGCTTCGGCGCTCAGGTCTCGGGGCAGGCCTCTCTCCAACTGGGCAAATATCCTTCCACCCCAGTCTCCTCTCTCCTGGGCAGGCTGGGCTGAAGAATGTCCCGCTCGCTCCCTAGGGCACCAAGCCACTTTCTGAGTCTTGGGATTTCAAGATGCTGGGCCTTTGGGGTGTGGTTCTTTGATTTTTCCGGAACAACGGAGGGCCCAGCCGTCTCCCTGTCTTACTCACTGAGGCTTGTATACAAAGGCCCACGTGCTGACGGGCTGACTGACGGTCCGTGTGCCTGACAAGAGACCACATGTCCAGGTTTGGGAGCAGCGAAGGTAGCAGAGTAGCAGTTCATCGGAGAGGCCCTCGATCAGAAAGACCTGGGTTCAAATCCAGGCTCTGCCACCTACCTACCCGCTGCGTAACACTGGGCAAGTCACTTAACTTCCCTGAGCCTCGTTTTCCTCACCTGTAAAACCGGATGGGGTTGTGAGGGTTCAGACAGATCGTCCCCACAGAGGGCTGAACGGCCTCCGCCGGGGAATGGTGGCCGTGCAGTCATAACCCAGGCAAGAGCAGCCGAGCTCACCCCCTGCTTCCTTCTCTGCAGGTTCTCAAATCGATGACCATGTTCCAAAGCGAGCTTCGGCTCGGATCCTCGCTCCCCCCGGAGGCAGGTCAAGCGGCATTTGGTAAAGGCACTGACCAGCCCCCCGCGTGAGGACGCACCACTGCCACCAGCCCGCACACCCTCCGGCCGCAGCTGCAGGGGGGCGGGAGAGGCTGGGCTGGGCAGTACACCACCTGAGGGGGCCATGGGACCCGGGGAGCCCTCCCCATGTCTGACACGCGATTCACTGTGCTTCGAGCCAACCCTAACAGGCACTTTGAGATGTGTCCCTCCTGCTGCAGTCCTTTCCTGCCTTGGCCTCGGCAGGCTTTGGGGGGCCCGGGAAACCCACACTATGCACAGAGCCCAAGGCATAGAGCCCGGCCCAGCCCCTCCTCTTACACCCGCCTCCATGTGCTGGCTTTGGGAAAGCCCAGACTTTAGTGCCCTGCCCCCTGGCTGACCCGCCAGCTGTCCGGAGCACTTTAGCAGATGTGTGTTAGAGGAAAAGGACCCCCTCCCCCTGAGGAGGCCCCGCGGTCGCTTTTCCCAAGTCAGACAGGTGTTGGCTTCCCGGCCGTGCCCAGGGGGTCCCGTTTTTTCCTGACTCCACGCTGGCCCCTGTGTGGGTGTGGTTGGGGCGCCCCGCACCCTCCGCCAGCTTCTTCCTCCCCCCCCCCTCCACCCCACCCTCTGGGAGTCACAGGCCCGGAGGGGCTAGCTGGGTGGGGCACGGGGCTGGTGCCAGGCGCGTGTACATGATTTTGTTTTGCACGTTTGGTTTGCGCAGTGGTTTGGTTTGACTTGTTTGTGCATCCTGTGAAAAATAACGGTGCTTCGTGTCACTAGCATAGCATAGAAACAGGAGTAGATGTGGACCTTAAGAGATGCTGCACTCGACACCAACCAGACAGCCTAGGGCACAGACGAGGAGGGGGCGGTGAGGGGTTGGACTCACAGGCCCTTCTTCTCCCAACCTGGGGCCTTCCAGGCTGCCGAGGCCTTGTCCCAGGCCCTCCTCCCGTCCCCTCCCCTCTTGGTATAGTTCCCTACAGTCTGAGAGGGTGCCCCGGGGACCGTCGGGGAGCGGAGTCACCTTTCCCATCTCTGGCTCTGGTCACTCCCAGCCCTGACACCCCCACACCCCCAGCCAGCTTCCTGTAACCTCCCCCTGCTGGACGGAGGCCCGGCCGCTCTTCCTGTGTGATTGGCAAGAGGCCTCGTGCCTGCTAAGAGAGGGGGAGCGGGACCAGGGAGGGAGGGGGCTGGAGGCCAGGCCAGCGGGACGGGGCTGGAGAACCCACATTGCTGCACAGGTGCCGTGGAGCCCCGTGGTCAGCACCTCACCTTCACCTGCCCGTGGCCTCCCTCTCCTCCCACCTCCAGCCGAGCCCTCCCTGCCTCGGAAGCGCCGGGAGGTCTCCATGGAGACGCTAGAGGCCGGGTGATCTCCATCCACCCTGAGCGAGCTGGGAAGCAGCCCAGCCACCTGCCCTTCTTAAGCTTTGCCTTCCCCTCGGGGAAGTGATTTCACGTTCCACATCGCTTTGCGCACCCCAGGCTTGTTCCAGGACTCGGGCCAGCGGTCCTACCCTGCACGTTTCTTTCGTGCTTTACGTGCCGTCAAAGCACTTGCATCTACGAGCGCTCGCTTGCTCCTCGCAACGGCAGAGCGTGTATTGTGGTCCCCATTTCGCAGATGAGACCCAGAAGGTTTAGGCCTTCTGACCCCAGAAGTGTCCAGGACCACCCCTAAGGGCGTGGCTGCCTCCCCCCGCTGTGGAAAGGAGGAGGGGTGACGTCCCTTGTAGATGCCACCCGAGAATTCAACCACCCGGAAGACTGACTCCCTTGGTAGGCGTTCTGCTTTGTTTTGCACAGATAGCTAGATTTTCCTTGTAGACAAACTAACGCGTGTTCACTGCTCGAGCCAGGACTAGATCCGTGTTGGCGGCTTGCCGTGTAGTTTGCGCTGCCCCCACGCCCTCATTTCTCCCTTCAAGCTCATCTTCCTCACTCACTCAGGGGCTGAGAGGACAGAGACGGCACCCCAGGGAGCAGAGGGAGCAAAGGCACCCACGGGGACGGGAGGTAGGGATCTGGGCCTGGGAAACTGTGACCCTGATCCCTCGCTACAGTGCACATCACCATCTTTATCCCTTCCAGCCCTTTGCTGGGTCGCGGGCCTTGGGAAGATGCCAAAGAGCCGAGCAGTGGTGGTGGCCAGCGGGCAGAGTGTCCCTGCTTGGGCCAGGAAAGCTTTACCTTCTCTGAGTGCCTCTGCCTGAGAGATGCATGGTCTGTGGCTCTAGGAGACCACGTCTTGGAGTGGTCCACCGCAGGCCTTCCGCTTCATCTACCCTCCCCACCCCCACCCCCGATCTTTCATAGACCCCACCCTCGCCCGGGAGCTTCTAGAGGAAGATCAGGAGGCTCAGGGGACCACATGAATGGTCCGCTTCCGCCACCCGCTCCTTGCCCCTGTGCAGAGCTCCAGCCGGCTCCATCGGCAGCCCCGCTGCCCCTGGTTGGAATGAAAAGGGTCTCTGGTTGCACTGAATGCAGCTCTCAAACTGGTCTTGTACTTGCTGAATAAATACTGTTGTTCTTGCCTTAGCTGCTCTCTAGGTTTGTGGGAATAAGTTACCAGAAAATTGTGCTACTGTGTGTGCGTGTGCGTGTGCGTGTGTGTAGTGCTAGGAGTCCACAGTAGGTCTCTGTCAAGCCGATGCCGCTATGAGGGCTTTTCCGATACTGACCCAGAAACCACAGAACCACGCGAAAACCCAAACCACCCTCTCCAGCTGCCCGGGCGGCAGGCACAGCCTGGGGTCAGGATGGAGCCTCCAGCACCCAAGTGACTTCTCACTCCTCTGTAAACGTCATGGTGCTAAAAGATCGTGTCAACCCCAAGATGACACATGGTCCTGTGCTTTGGCCACCTGTTTGAGGCAAAAACAAAACAGCCCGACACATTGTGTTCTGGTGCAGGTTTGTATTAAACTGTAGCTACTTCTCACCTGGTCTCAGTTGTGTTTCTTCAAAGAAGAGGGACTTTGACAGGGGACCTCTTCCACAGTGGCAGGGGCGAGGCTTCGGTTGCTAAGAAAATTCAGCTCTGGTTTTTCACTCGTGTCGGGTGGCAGGTGGCAGCTCGCTGAGAGGTGGGAGCCTCAGTGCCCGGCACTCGGGGCTCTGTCCTCTTCCTGGTGGGGACAAAAGCAAGGCTTTGGATGCCAGATTCCCAGGACAAGGTTGCTGGGTTAACTGAAACAGCCGTAATTGGGAGAAAGCATTACATACAAAAGGAGGTGGGGGAAACTAGGCTTCCCCCACCTATCCTTTGTTGCCTGTTTTCTTGGCTACCATTTTGGAAACCCATAGACCCCCCCCCCCCCCCCCCTTACACAATGGAACTCTTGGCTAATGGAGCTGTGACCTCATAAAATCACATGACAGAGCTGTCCAAAGGCCAGTGTGTCTTTCTTTTTTTTTTAATGTTTATTTATTTTTGAGGAAGAGAGAGAGACACAGAGCGTGAGCAGGGGAGAGGCAGAGAGGGAGACAGAATCGGAAGCGGGCTCCAGGCTCTGAGCTGTCAGCACAGAGCCCGACGCGGGGCTCGAACTCAGACTATGAGATCATGACCTGAGCGAAAGTCAGATGCTTAACTGACTCAGGCGCCCCGGCCAGTGTGTCTTTGAAGGAACTTCAGACTGCTCCCTGGTTCTCCAGAACCCCACCTTTTGGGTTGGTCTACTATACCCTCTAACCCCTGCCACCTGCATCACCTCCACCGTCTCTCTAGATCTCAGCCAGATGTTGGAAGGGATTACCAGATCAAACTCGTCCACACTACAGGGTGAAATTGTTTCCAGTACTACGGGGTCACTTGTTTTTTCTTAGCCCCCAAAGACAAAACCCTAGTGGCAAAGGAACTTTCCCACTTCTCACCAAATAAACAACCCTACCAACAAGGCCAGAACCGAAAGAAATCCCCGGGGTGCTGCATTGGGACCAAGCACTCGGCTGTAATGAAGTGAGCTGTATGCACAAACTGGTGGGGTTTCTGAGCCAGATGGAAACACTGTTACCTGGCTTGCAAAGGATGCCGAGTCCCTGGGATGGTACTGGGCCAAAGTGTCTATTACCCTGATTTCCCATCACGTGGGAGCGCACCAGAATTTGACTAGCGGCCAAAAATCTTTTGTGTTTGGATGAAAAGCATGCCACATGTTCAGCAGGCCATGTGCATGGTATTGGATGGTGTATGGAGAAAAAAATAAAAGCTACCCGGGAAGACACGGCATGCCTTTGTGTGTATGCAGTTGCCGGAAAATAAAACACCACAGACTTTAAAATAAAGCCATCTAATAAGATGAGGGTTTTAGTGCTTTCTCACTAAAACAGTAAAGGATCTAACATTTGGTTGGTACTTGACGCTGTCTTACAATGAAAGCTGATTTCTTCACTTTCTTCCCCTGGTATATTTCCAAAGTACACATTTATACCTATAGGGAATCTTGTCCTGGTTTTCCCGGGACAGTTCCGGGTTAAGTCTATCGCTCCAGGGTAATTAGTGGTGCCACCTTTCATATATGTCGTGCTTTGGGCACTAACTTATTTGGCCACCTCATGCATACCTATATATTCATTAGGCTATGAAGATGCCTGATCGGGAGTTAAAATTCATTCCATCGCTGAAAGGTGAAGGGCAGGGCATCGTGGGAGGTGGGGAAAATGGGTCCTTCTGCTGTGAGTGGGGACAAGGGTGTCCTGTGACAAGCCCCGAGTCTTCACAGCTCTGCCATGGGTACAGCAGAATGGGGAAGGTCTGGGGGCGCTTCCCTAAGCTTTTCAGTTTAGTGTATAGACTTATTATTCCATTAAAAATTATAAGGGGGCGCCTGAGTAGCTCAGTCGGTTAAGCGCCCGACTTCAGCTCAGGTCACGATCTCGCGGTCCGCGAGTTCGAGCCCCGCGTCGGGCTCTGGGCTGATGGCTCAGAGCCTGGAGCCTGTTTCCAATTCTGTGTCTCCCTCTCTCTCTGCCCCTCCCCCGTTCATGCTGTGTCTCTCTCTGTCTC